TTGACAACACCTTTTTCCTCTTCTTGCTCCAGAATTTAGAAGACAAACCACTATATTCCAATTAAAGGACAATAGATTTTGCCTAACCATGAGAACAGAGGGGATTTTGTGAGTGCTATGCATAAAAAAGTAACTTTTGCAAACTCTGCTGGCGACTGACCCTCTTCTTCTTCATAGTAGAGAGCCTACTTTTTAGCCCTCCATGGAGTAGAACTTCCTTGAAAGTCAATCCGTTTTTCAGAGTGGGACAATAAAGTCCCGTCCGGGTTTTATCTCCAGCCGACTCCTTCAAGCGACCGGTTCGGGCAAAGGGGAGGGCGAAGTGGAATCCAGTCCAGGTTTTCTGACATCGGCAGCTGGAGTAGTCGGTGGCAGCTTCTTGCCCTGTGTGCTCTTTCTCCTCGGCGCCCCCGCAGTCCCCTTCCGCGTGGTCCTGCCGCCGACGGATACTATAACAGCAGCTCAGGTAAGAGAGATAAAGTTGTCAGGGGGTAAACTATTAAGGGCTCCTGTACCTTTTTGTGTAGTGGAGGGTATTTCGGCAGCCTTGCTTGTTCCTTCAATGCCCTTTTCTACACAATCATTAAAGGGACAGGAGCCCCTGACAAGTGTGGATGGGTCACTCCTAGTGTTGCCACCTGGTGCTCTTGCTCTAGAATTGCCAGATCAAATAAGGAAAGGGGCTCTGGGAACTTTAAGGGTTTCAGTAAGAAGGAAAACTCAGTATGTGTTGCTTCTTTGCACCTTTTGTAGGTGGATTATGAGACTTGTAGTCCTTTATCTGAAAGGGACAGCTAGAAATCCCTGTTGAAAGGGACAACAGATACAGAATGAATTGAATACACACACACACACACAAGATTGGGTACCTGACATTAGCCAGGTTATTTGAAAAAGTCAATTTTTAATGGTCCAAAATGCATAAGGTTTTGGGTGAACTACAACTCCCATCATGCCCGGTTAACCCCAAGAAACTCCATCAGTACTTAAAGTTTGTTTGGTTGGCAAGTTTGCTCTAGATCAGTGGTTCTCAACCTGTGGGTCCCAAGGTGTTTTGGCCTACAACTCCCAGAAATCCCAGCCAGTTTACCAGCTGTTAGGATTTCTGGGAATTGAAGGCCAAAACATCTGGGGACCCACAGGTTGAGAACCACTGCTCTAGATGCATCATCAGTGGAGTTCAGTGTGCTCTCTGGCTGTAGAGTAGACTACAACTCCCACTATGGTGAGAGACTGCCCTCAAACCCCTCCAGTAGGTTGAGTTAGTCATGGGGGTTGTGTGTGCCAAGTTTGGACCAGGTTCATCAGCAGTGGAGGTCACTGTTTCTCTGGTTGTGGGTGAACTACAACTCCCAGAAAGGAATTTATTTTTTATTTACAGTATTTCTATACTGTTTTTCTCACCCCTAGGGGGACTCAAAGTGGGCCAGTTCCCCCCAAACCTCTCCAGTAATCAAATTTTGGCATATCAGGTATGTGTGCCAAGTTTGGTCCAGATCCATTGGTGTTTGGGTTCACAGTGCTGTTTGGATGTAGGTGAACTACAACTCTCTCAAATCAAGGTGAATTTCCCCAAAGACGTCTAGTATTTTTTACTGGGCATGGGGGCTCAAGTTTGGCCCAATTCTCTCTTTGGTGCAGTTCAGAGTGCTCATTGATTGCAGGTGAACTATAAATCCCAGTACCAACAACTCCAAAATGTCCCCGCCAATTCCCCTCAAAACCCACTAGTATTCAACTTGGTATGCATACCAAGTTTGGTCCAAATCCATCATTGTTTGAGTTCATAGTGCACTCTTGATGTAGGTGAACTATAAATCCCAATACCTACAACTCTAAAATGTCCAGGCCAATTCCCCTCAAAACACACCAGTATTCAAATTTGGGCATATTGGGTATGCATGCCAAGTCTGATCCAAATCCATCATTGTTTGAGTTCATAATGCGCTCTTGATGTAGGTGAACTATAAATCCCAATACCTACAACTCCAAAATGTCCAGGCCAATTCCCCTCAAAACACACCAGTATTCAAATTTGGGCATATTGGGTATGCATGCCAAGTTTGGTCCAAATCCATCATTGTTTGGGTTTATAGTGCGCTCTTGATGTAGGTGAACTATAAATCCCAATACCTACAACTCCAAAATGCCCATGCCAGTTCTCCTCAAAACACACCATTATTCAAATTTGGGCATATTGGGTATGCATGCCAAGTTTGATCCAAATCCATCATTGTTTGGGTTTATAGTGCGCTCTTGATGTAGGTGAACTATAAATCCCAATACCTACAACTCCAAAATGTCCAGGCCAATTCCCCTCCAAACACACCAGTATTCAGATTTGGGCATATTGGGTATGCATGCCAAGTTTAGTCCAAATCCATCATTGTTTGGGTTCATAGTGCGCTCTTGATGTAGGTGAACTATAAATCCCAATACCTACAACCCCAGAATGTCCAGGCCAATTCCACTCAAAACACACCAGTATTCAAATTTGGGCATATTGGGTATGCATGCCAAGTTTGGTCCAAATCCATCATTGTTTGGGTTCATAGTGCGCTCTTGATGTAGGTGAACTACGACTCCTATAAAACCCTTTAAAGACCTGCTTTGTTGGTCATGGGGGTTCTGTGTGCTAAGTTAGTTCCAGCTCCATAGTTGGTGAAGTTCAGAGTGCTGTTAGATTGCAGGTGAACTATACATCCCAGTATGTACAACTCCTATAAGTCATGGTGAATTCTCCTCAAACTTCTCTAGTATGTTCAGCTGTTGATCAATTCCTCCGTTTGCTATGTGCCATAGAAACGAATAGGAAAGGGTTAAGGGAGAGGCAGTGGGCAGGGTCATGCAAATTCCACACCAATGGAGAGATTAAGAAACACTGAGATGTCTGTTGTGGAGGAAACACATAACAACTAGGATGAAATTGTCTCCGTATGAAAGCCTTCACTTGGGTGGCAGGCAGTATGGTGTTTGTGAAGGACATTGGCAGGACTCTTGGAGATGTTTATTGCGCTCACTATAACCTGCAGTGTAATTGGAGGGAGGGCCATTGGTGACTCCTGAGTAGTGGGAGTTATAACTATTTGTGAAAGTAGGAGCCTGTCTGTGTAAGTGGACACCCTAGCCATACACATACATACATATTTTCATTTTTATTATGGACTAGCCATCCCCTGCCACGCATTGCTGTGGCCCAGTGTGGTGCTCTGGAAAATAAAGTAATGAGAAAGTTTTGGTTTCCAATATATGTAATTTCTTTCTGCTTGTGGGTAAACAGTATTTCTTGCTATTTCTTTGTCGGTGTTGATGTGGAGATTGTCTGGTTTCCCTTCTCTGGAACATGCAACATATCATTGTCCTTCTTTAGGGGTCCCTTTCAAATCTAGGATACTATATCTCTGAGTGTATGTGAATCATATCTATCGATATCTATGGCTGGATGGCTCTTTGTCAGGAGGGCTTTGATTACGTTTTCTTGCCCTAGTGAAGGGAGTTGGACTGGATGGCCTTAAGTATTTTCTGTTGGTCATGGGGGTTCTGTGTGGGAAGTTTGCCCCAATTCTGTCGTTGGTGGAGTTCAGGATGCACTTTGATTGTAGGTGAACTATACATCCCAGTAACCACAACTCCCAAATGTCAAGGTCTATTTCCCCTCAAACTCCATCTTTGTGCATATTTGGGCATATGGAATATTCATGCCAAGTTTGGTCCGGATCCATCATTGTTTGAGTCCACAGTGCTCTCTGGATGTAGGTGAACTACAATTCCCAAACTCAAGATCAATGCCCACCAAACCGTTCTAATGTTTTCTGTTGATCATGGGAGTCCTGTGTGCTAAGTTTGGTTCAATTCCATCATTGGTGGAGTTTAGAATGCTCTTTGATTGTAGGTGAACTATAAATCCCAGCAACTACAACTCCCAAATGACAAAATCAATTTTTTTGAGTGAGGGGGAAAGTGGGGCATTTTATAAGTGAAATTGGGACGTTTTGATAGTATGTAGTCCAAATAATGCCTTTATTATTGTGCTGCCCATTGTTTGCCTCCCCAAGACATAGCTTATCTCAGTGGAAAATCAGACCTGGAGCAGTCTGCAGTGTTTAATGTGTGGACATGAACTCTCATGAAATGGTTATTGCGCGAGGCAGCATATTTATCAGACGGCTCTGGGAGGCTTTCATTACTTGTATTTATTGCTTTAAGTTGTGCATTTAGTTGTTTGCAAATCTGTTTTGTTTGGCAAACTATAAGCAAATATGTTGTCGAAGGCTTCCATGGTCGGAAGCACTGGGTTGCTGTGAGTTTTCTGGGTTGCATGGCCATGTTCCAGAAGCATTTTCTCCTGACGTTTTGCCCCCATCTATGGCAGGCATCCTCAGAGGTTGTGAGGTGTTGGAAACTAGGCAAGTGAGGTTTATATATCTGTGGAATGTCCAGGGTGGGAAAAAGAACTCTTGTTTGTTGGAGGCAAGTGTGAATGCAATTGGCTACTTTGATTAGCATTGAATGGCCTTGCAGCTTCAAAGCCTGGCTTCTTACTGCCTGGGAGAATCCTTTGTTGGGAGGTGCTAGCTGGCTCTGACTCAAGGAACATGAAAGGAACTGCAGACTAATTCAACCAGAGAGGTCACACATAGCAGAGCACCTGATGAATCAACCTGGATACAGCATATTATTTGAGTACACAGAAATGGTAGACCACTCTCACAACCACCATGTCAGACGACACAGAGAAGCCATTGAAACCCACAAGCATGTGGACAATATCAACAGAAAGGAGGAAACCATGAAAATGAACAAAAAAACCCTCTAAAATCAGGATAGTAAATCAAGAGCAACATTCAAAACACGGGAATTCCAGACAAGAATCAATCAGGCCAGCTAACACCTCCCAACAAAGGATTCCCCCAAATGGCAACCAGCCAGGCTTTGAAGCTGCAAGGCCACTAAATGCTAACCAAATACAACATTCCCACTTGCCTTAAATAGACAAGAGTTCTTTTTCCCACTTTGGACATTCCACAGATATATAAACCTCACTTGCCTAGTTTCCAACAGACCTCACAACCTCTGAGGATGCCTTGCATAGATGTAGGTGAAACGTCAGGAGAGAATGCTTCTGGAACATGGCCATACAGCCTGGAAAACTCACAGCAACCCTGTAAGCACATACACTTGGCTTGAAACTTGGGATGCACATACACTATAGAATTAATGCACCTTGAAAGCACCTGAACTATTGTGGCTCAATGCTATGGGATCTTGGGATTTGTAGTTTGGTGCGTCTTCAGCACTCTTTGTCAGAGAAGGCTAAAGAGCTTTCAAGACTACAACTCCCTTGATCACATAGAGTTGAGCCATTGCAATTTTAAGTGTTGCCAAACTGCATTGATCTTACAGTGTAGATGCACCTTGATTTTGGCTCAGACATGGAAGCTCTGGAGACATAAACTCTGTATTTGT